TTCGTCCAGGTATTGTACTGCAGTTTTTTGCGGTTGTCAATAAATTATTCCAACATGAATTCAACGACAAAACGTTTTTTGCCGTTTATTTTAAATAATTTGGAGGTTCATAGTCTTGCCCATTTTCCGTTTTTCAAATTGCAAACCAATTCAAAGCCCGAGACAAAGGCAATTTTCCCAGTAGAAATTTGAGTTTGTGATCCACAACAAGGTCGTTTATTGTCTTTTTTGATAGTTCTCCCCATACAAAGTGCACATTTGTTTCGGATAAATCAGCTAAAAATACAATACACAAATTGCTGTCCCACACTTGAAGCGCTTCCCCACTAATGCCTTCCCAGTCACAACAGCCCCAAACTAATGATTAAATAAATGCGCTTGGCCTTAAAAAGGGAACCCTGATGCAACTGCAACTCGCACACTCTAAAAAAATGAAGCGAAAGAAACCGAAATTCCGTGAAGAACTCATGAAGTTATGGGCTGCGGGCACAGGCTGCTGAAATATTTATTTCTGATGCCACTCTTTCTTGCATATTCCATAAATATAAATATGCTGAAAGCTGGAGGAGGCTGCCACTTAAGCGCCTTCAATTAATATTTTCCATATTTCTTCTGTTCTTCTGTTCTCTTCTGGGCTGCTGCGTTCTCCCCTCGCTTTGTTTATTGGAGTGTCGATTAAGTTGTTTTAATATTAAGCAGCCCCTTTCTAAATTAAGAGCCCTCCGTGATATATATGGTTTATCTTACGGGGAGAGCGACTGCGAGATGGATCTGTGGAAGGCCTTGTTCCCCTTTGAGAAGGCAGTCGATGGATCTTATCATACAGTGAATACATATGTGCACTTGAGGTTGATTCACTTCCATTTATGGAGCAGCAGTTTAAAGCAAAGTCAAAGCGAGGTTCAAGGCACTGGATCGTATCGGGGAGTCTCGATATCACTAGAGAGCACAAATCAAACGGCACTGGACGCAATCACAGAAAACTGAAACCGGCAAACTGCCAATTTTCAGAGCGGCCAGAAAACAAAGAACCGGGTCAGAAGCGATACCCAAACCGATTCTCACACAAATTTGCAAACGCACAATTAAGTCGCCTGGGAGAAGAGGACCCTCTGGAGCTTCCTGCCCCTTCCTGCAGACCCCTTGCAACGTATGATGTGCCAACGAAGACGTCAACTTGTCATTCGCCGGTAGTAGCAGTAACAGCCTTAAACTCGGTTAATTTATCATGGCTGGTGGAGGGAGAAAAGGGGAAAGCGACTGGGAATGGGCAAAAAATGCAATTGTGTCGAGAGTGTAGTTTTTTATTCCAGCTCTGGTTTTTGGGCCCGGGACTTTTGTGCCAAGTGTTTGCATTTAGCCGCCATGGCACTGACTGATGTACAGAAATTAATAACGCTCAAATAGAGCTTCAAAGTGGGCAAGAGTTTCAGCTCCGCATTTTTTTCTTTGGCTCAGCTCAGCTCACTGTTTTTTTATAATCCTCACTCGCTTTAAGCCGGCGAGTTTCCGGCCTTTAGCTCTTTTTGCCCCCTACCAAATGGGTGCTACACGCATATTGATTACCAGGTAGTCGAATCCAGCTGGGAATCGAGGGGTTACGAGCGATTTAAAGGCGAGTAAAAGTTGCATTTTCAGGGGGCAGTTAATGAATCCCAACTTGTCCACTAGCATTGGTCAGAGGGGCCAGAGGGGCAGCAGGGGTGAGTCAATCAAGTTGAAGTCCCAACATTCCGTATTCCCACAGTGCATTAAGCCAGCGTCCAAGGCAGCAAATTCCTGTCCCAGGATAGAACCTGGGAAGCAGCCAGCAACTGCAAAATCAACAGCAACAAAATCACTTGCGGTTGCATTTTGCGGTTTTGGACCAAACTCACTATGTGCAGTAAATGCAGTGCAGACCGAGAAGTTTGCCTTTTTCTTTGCGGCGTGAGAATTTGTCGCTTCCTCGGGTGGGCGGACTTTTTCCAGATGAGGAGGAGGCACGTGTTTCCCATCCAGCGGTGAAAAGTCAATTTCGAGAACGATTTCCCACCCGATAAGAGGTTTCACAGTTGGATTTTCGGTCGAATGAAAGTTTTACGAGGCCTAAGCTCAAAATGAAAGGTTACCAGAAGCTACTTTAAACTGACCCTAATGGATCATCTGATCTAGTGGAAAAAGTGAGAAAAGCGAAGAGAAGAAACCACACTTTGACAGAAGAAAGTTCGAGATAAACATTATTATGTCGTTAAAAAAGGTATGGGGGATCTGTAGAGACACTTGCACTTATATAACCTAATAAAGGGAAATTAAGATTGCAATCTAGAAAGATTTAGAAAGGAGTTTCGGGGAGAACAGCGAAAACTTTCTTCTTCTTCAATCATGTTGTTTTCGCAGTAAATCATTAAAAATTCAAATACTATACTGATGACTAATACTAGTTTCACTGAAAGCCCAGATCAATGCGGAATCACTTAACACCAATAGCCCAATGTCTAATCGTTCCGCATTAAGCTACATAGCTTTAGAGAAAACCATGTGCCATAAGGCGTTATAATTGTTTTACGGTACTACATTTCACAGGTTACCGAACGCAAACAAACAGTTAACAGGCTTTGTATACTTTTGGCTTTTTGTTAATTAATTGTTAACAAAACGAAGGGCAAATAAAAATATCAACGGAGCGCAGTAGACAGAAAAAAACCACGAGTAAAAGCGCCAACTTCCATTTTTTGCTGACTTTGTGCCATAACTTATAATAAAGAAGTCGTATATTATTTTTTCATTTCGCTGCTCAACTTGTTTATTGAATTTACCATTTTAAAGGCGCTGACTCAGTATGATTTTCGCTGTAATTTAGTCAAGTTAGCGCGAAACGTTAAACGAGGTTGCAATGCATAACAGACTACAGAAAAAACCCCGATTCGGGCCGGTATTCATTTCAATTGAATTTTGAATAACTTTGAATCTTTGGCTCCACCAAATCGTGTTGCCAACGACTCGATGAATTGCAAATCTCTCTAAATCAGAAAGTAAATCGGTTGACGATAGAACGGCTTTGAAGGAGGGAAGAGTAAAATGGCTTCAGAATAAATACAAATAATTTGATTTGCCTAAAATATTATAATGTAATATAAATATTATGGGCGTTGCTAAAAGTACCGTTTATGCATAGGTAAGCAAAAATCCGGGTTGCGCAATTTGATGGCGATTTTTATACAGTTCTTTCTCAGTTGACAAATGCTTTTGACTTTTTATTGCTTGCGCGGGTGTGTCTTTGGCTCAATGGAGAAACAATAGACATAAGTGGACATAACTGTATATGGAAGCCCAGCAACTTCCTCTGGCCATAAAGCCATGCATAAATTACGGAAGGAATTATACAAATAGTTTGTTGGCTTTTAGAAAGAAGTAACAAGGGTTAGGTAGATCAAAATGCAAGCCATCTCAAAGATGGTAAAGTAAAAAATTTTAATTGATATGTTTGCTAAGTCCAAGTGCCTTGATCTCCAGTGAAAGATAAATGACCCTGTTGCTAGACCACAATCAACTTCCTCCATCAATCAATGAACATCAGTGAGATACTTCCCTTTAAAACGCCCCTGTAAGTACGTGGGTGCAATATGAAGACTAAATGATGCGAATATCCTTTCAGGACTCACGTATCCTCAACTAAATAGAGGATATATCTATAAAGCACGGATTTAAAAAAAAATCTACCTGTAAGGTATAACGACGAAAAGGGCGCTAAACCGAAGGAAACCGCACTTGACAGTAGCACACGAGCAGGTAGGCCCGAAAGCCAAGCCCTCTCACGTAGCCTCCTAAAATTCAGGATGGGATCGCAGCACTCTGAGAACCCCGAAGCGCATTGTTCTCGTGCATTTCCTGATTTTTAATTAGCCAAATAGAACCTTACAAAGAAAGGGACAAGTTGAACAAAGTGTGCTGACTATACGTGATTGGTATTTGAAATCTTTTGCTTCTCAATGTCGACAAAACAACAATGTACTCTCAAACTCCGACAAGACAGGAAATTAATTCGATATCAATACTCGTCTGCGGTTACGATGAAAATTGCGAGAAAGTGATGTTGAAACCAAGCTCAGGTTGAAAATTGTATAATCGAGACAAACCACTTTTGGACATCGGGAATTTCCCCGCTCATAATCATGGTCACTGGCCAGAGCTTGAGCCACATAGTTTTGGTTTGTGTCTGATGGACAAAACCAAGTGAATCGAATGCTTCTATTCCCATGAAATATGTCTAATTAGCAAGTCAGCTTTCAAGGAAGTAAGAATGGAAACAAAATACCTTAGCCAAATGAAATGATACAAATATCGGATTTGTACAAATACCCAAATGAGCCCCATTGCCGAACTGAGTGATATAATTCATCTGAATTCGAAACAAAAGAGACAGATTTTCTCACAGAAATCTGAAAGATATACATCAAATCAAACTTTTGGTCGAGACCCAAGCTTTGTGTCATTTATAATCGGCCAACAGACCAACTTTGACTAATTAAGCGAATCACTGGACCGAGGAATTTACATGAAATGTTTATGCATTTTCAAAATAGCTGGGAAGGTCTTTTGTCTGCCTGTGTTGCCCCTAATGGAAATTTGAAATATTTGCATAAAGCTAACAATTTGCTAGCTTGCAGATTTACGGATGTGCAGTTGTCGGAGGCCAAGAACCGGACAATGATGCTTAGAAAATCCGTATTTGCATTATAATCCCCCTTATGACCTAGGAAATGACTGGCCAACAATTTGGTTACCGTTCAAGCGGGTTCACTCAACTCTGAGCGGCGAAAATGTCTCGAGATCAAATCGCAATTCGATAATTGAGCCAAAGGAGAGTGGGCTGAGAAAATTCTGGTCTGGGACTTTCGCCGAAGCGAGAAGAAAACCAATCGACCAAACTAGATCTCGTCTACCAATCAAACTTTCTAGAGGAAGACGGTAAATTATTGGGCCGCAGCGAAAACTGGGCTTAGCGATCTGGGGCTTACCTTCGAGCTGGTGAGATGTGGTATCCAAATGTGTTTTGCCTGTAATCGTAATCCCAAGACTTGGCAGCCCGACTTTGATGGATGGGCTGGTGGAACAAGAAGTCCGGCGAAGACAAGACAAGGTCGCACTGTTTTTGGTTTTGTTTTTTGCCTCGTTTGTTTTTACGGCCCTTTGGCTGGCATTAAGTTATCAAGCACTAGCACTCCACATGTACTTCACATGCACGGCGCATTTCTACGCGTATCCAAAGGTGCGTATGCGTACGTGTTCCCTGCGGAGGGCGACGCCACTGGGGAAGCAGGTGCACTCAGGAAGCAGGTGCGCTGATTTTTATTTAGCGATGCACTTTCAATCTCTATTTAAAATTTGTTCACTTCTTCTTCATTTGGCTCGCGAACCAATTTTATTTTCGACCTGGGCGCACATTCACTTTCGTTCAGATGGGTCCGCTACCGTTAGTCAGTTCACCAGGAATTGATAATACAGAGTGGAGCAGCGAGGAGGACCGCACTCGGTGGTGTTTACAGACGGAATGAAGCCGCACCGCTAGCGTCTGCGAGGTCTAGCCCAATGAGAGTCGCATTTAGCTGGGAGAGCCACAGAGCGGCTAACGGGCGAGCGGATCTGTGGAACACGTTTTTCATAAGAGCGGGTGTGTTTACTCTCTCGCCCTCTCTGCACTCAGAAAAAATTCAGATATTGTTAACAACAGATACGAGGTGTACGCATCAGTACCTTTTCAATTTTAGCTACATCAAAATTAACAACTATTTTATTTTAATTTTCAATTTTAAAACAGGTATTCAAAACATTATATTTTAAGATTTAGCATGCTTTCCTACGGTTTTTAAACTATAACTTAAAATCATGAACATAATTTTGACTAAAGGCAGTTTATCATTTCAATTCTTTTAACGTTTGTAAGTCTCATGTTGTTTTAAGCCAGCATACAAAAGTAAACTATGTCTAAAATAGTTTGTATTAAAGGCGTTACAAAACACACTGTGTTACAGAAGTATTGCTTTTTAATTTACCTGTAATACCCCCGGAAAGTTGTTAATTTTACGTAGTTTTGAGCACTTGTTTCTCCGAATTGCGTCTGGGATCTTTTTGAAGAACGCATTTTAATTTGGGAATTCGTTACAAATTCAAATTTATCGCATCCATCGAAATGAATTTTAGATGTAACATAGGGTAATTAAAAAAAATCGACCATAGCAAAAACCTTGATCCAATCTCAGAAGAATTATACTCAAAAAATGATAGAGTAAACTGAATTTTGGGAAAAGGTAAATGGTGTGTAAGTGAGCCAGTGTGGGTTGTTTTGACGTTCTGTGGGCGAGCGAGCGGGCGAACTAGTTCGCTCTCTTCGCAGAGAGGAAAACTGGTTTCCAATCAGACTTTGCCGGCATGTGGGTTTCCTCGTGGAAATATGCTTTGGGGATGGGTAGCGTGCGAGGGGACAAGTCGCGGTCGAGCGACGCCGGATGGGCTTGGGCAGAGCTACGTACTCGTAAATGACCAGAGTTGAAGGGCGAGGCGCAGCAGAGTTTTTCGTCTGAGACCATGTAATAAATCAAGATGTTCTTAAAACTTTTGACTTAAAAAACTTTAATTATATATAACGTACCTTGCGAAGCATTTTGGAAATGTTTAAATAACAAACCAAATTGTACAAATTTAGTTAAAATTTTATTTATTTTAGTCAAGACTTAAGAAACTGGTGTGTCGCAAAAAAGAACACAATGATAATTTCTTTTTTTTAAGTATTTTAGTTTTGAGTTCACTTTTTATAAAGGTAACAAAACGATTTTTTTTTAATTGGATAATATTAATAATGAATATTTTGTGACAATACGATTTTAAAATAATTATAGACCATTTTATATATTTATCTATCATATCATATCTGATTCGACCAACACAGGTTACATGTAATAAGGAACAACCTTTGCAAATCCAAACGAGTAAAAAGAAAGTTCAAACGTCAAACGAAATATTCAATTCCGACAATGTCTTGGATTGCTTTGGTTTTCTTTTTTAAAATGATTTATTTTGCTTAACCTAACACAGACGAAGAAAAGCAAAAGTTGAAAAATTAATTATGACAAAGTCAAAAAGTCCAAAAATTGTTAATGAAAGTGAAATTATCATCAACGAACCAAAAAAAAAGATGATTTTTGTTGCTCGATAATTTGCGGATGAAAAGGAAGCAAAAAAAAGAACTGATGAGCAAAGTAAAATTCATTAGATTTTGATAGATGAAGTTGATGAGTGGATGTCGGTGATGGACTCGCAGAGTTGTGAAAAATTTGTGCGAAAAATGCGGAACCAATTTTATTTGTTTGTCTATTGAGAGTGATTTAATTAGTTGGAGCACGGCAAACTTATGCAACTGACCCGGGGCGGCAATTAAGTATTCATGAATCAGACCCTAATTAGAGGTCGCCGTTTAACAAATGGATAGATTGAAGCGGGCAGACCCTCGAAAATAAATATCTGCTAGAGGAAATTTAATTAAATCAGTAGCAATCGTTATTTGTTTTAGCGCCCGTTCAGTTCTCTTGGTCAGTCACTGCTGGGATCATTATGAAGGCTATCAACCCCAGGGAAGAAAAAGTTACATCTCGTAGCTAAATGGCATTCCTCTGCCCAACGGTTAAATATTTGTGAAGCACAGTGTGGACATGAAAATGGTATCATACGCTTTTCACACAAGCGTGTGAAAAGTACACACCGACCCTAGTTGGGGGAGGCATTCTTGGTGGCAGGGTCTTTGACACACGGGGAATGGAAAGCCCAGTCTCCAGATGAAGACGGCGACGCTACGAAGGTATGCTCCAGTTACAGAAGTCGCTGAGCGGTGAACACAGAGTGTTTGTTCAGCTCAAATACAGTGAAACCTACAAAACTGAAAATGACGAGCAATTGGAAAAGCGCAATGGAAAATATTTTATTTTTGAATAAATTATTATACTATTTAATATAAATTTTACCAGTATTGCATAATAAAACGATATGCATATAATTAGCAAAAATTTACAATGCGCATATCAATTTAATTTGGGAGTATTGTTTTTGTGTGTAGCTCCATCAAATTTTTAATTTAGTATTACAGAAGTGCTTACAATATATAATTTTCAAAAAGTATTTTGATACAACAATTATTTCAGAATTATTTTTAAACCTAAACAGAACAGAAAACCAACATTTCTGCCCGAGTAATTCAGCCTGTACGCGCTTTGAGTTGTAATTGCAGACTCAGCTTGGCCGGCTGCAAGTTAATGGCCAATGGTCAGCAGCTGCCGCAGCCAAAACAGACGTGCTCCAATTGTAAACAAAAATGTTGGAGCTCGAGGTGCACTTGTGTTGGTCTGCATCTGCATCTGCATCTCCGTCTCCATCTCCATCTGCGCCGGATGGCAGCGAAGTCTGTCAAGTGGGTTACGATTCCGACTTCCCCTCGGGTAGCCAGTTTTTGCGTGCTGAGCACATTTCCTATAAATAGTAGCTGTAAACCATAAATAAAAACGAAAAAAGGCAGAAGCGTAAGAGTAGAGCTACAATTCAAGCAATCTATCAAGTTGCAGGCACCTCGAGATAGAATTCTGCGCTCAAATGATTTGTTTAGATGGGTTGCCACTAAGTGGAGGCCGGTTAAAGCCGCTTTAGATATACCGAAATGATTGGATTGGATTGTATTGGATTGAATTAATCGAAATTCGAATCGGAGCAAAGTGGTATCTATTTACGGCCTAAACATCACTTACCCTAATCGCGATCACAACAATTGATGGCCATAAATCAAGCCTCAGCAGTGCAGCAGCTGATATAGCTGCCGATGGCATCGATGGTATCCATATCATAAACAAGAACTTCCGATTGCGGCGTCTGCTCAAGTGGCAAGTGCCACGAGCGGCTTAAATCGCCAGCAACAACAAAGAGTATCTTATTTAAGCCAAAAAACCAATAAAAAACCGAAACTTTCAGCGGCCAAGGAACGACAGCTTGAAGACCCAAACAGGTGGCATCAGCAGTTGGGTCGGAGACAAGAACAGGACCTTGGACACAGGGACGGCGGGACGGGAGGACTTCCGCCGACGTCCTGGCCAGGTGGCCTCGCCTTTGCCAGGTCAAGCGAAAAGGCGTCAACGTATCCCTCAAAAGGATACGCATCGCTTTGCCCTCATAACTCATTAGCGCAGAGTGTATTTATTGTTGATTCGTATCATGGTTACTAATCAAGAAGTTCGGCATTTAATAAACAAAAGTCTTTTTATATTTGCCTTGAGTGGTTTTCTAATAGAAACGCAAGGCGCTAATTACATATAAAATATGTAGGTCAGTTTTTTTTAGATAAAAATTTTATTTAACAAAGTCATTATAATAATACAAATTAAAATATATTTTGGCATTAAGACGATATTTAACTACCTTTTAAGTACAAACTGATGGATTTCCATTTTGGATCTGATGGATCTGTTTTTTTTTAGTTTGCAGTCTGCTTGCAGTTCCATAATTAAAATGATATATTACTGCTTGATGATTTATTATGCAAAAATTCTTCTTTTTTAGTCAGTTAATAATTATTTTCTTAGTCCGCGGAATCGATGTGGGCCAAGAACGTTTTTAATAATGCGTTTTGAAAGTGGCAAAGGCACCAAAAATACATCGGTGTGATTTCTCACTTTACTAATGTTGGCTTAACACCTCACTGAAAACGGCACATTAACTTTCGATTTCTATCGTATTCGAATCGCTTACACAATATCGGATCCCGAAATTGTGTATTTCAATGCTTCATTTATTGTCAATTAGTCCAATTTTTATCCTACTCGAAAGTTGAAAAAATTTCAAGCCACTTTTAAGAAGATATTATCGATATATGATTACCACAGCTCATTAAACGTTTCTATGCATTGTATTTCCTCAGACGTTTCCATTAAAGAAACATAATATTTACTAGCCAAACGAGACATACAAATATGTATATACAACATTGAACGAATAAATAAGCGCAGCTGAGAAAATTATGGGAATGGGGTTTCTTCAATAAACTTGAATATGCAACGCTGCAACTCCACAAAGCTTATAAAAAAACTGTAAAAACTTTCAAATATTTGAAAAGGTATTTGTTTTCATGGTCGAGAGCAGCGTGGGGCAAGAACAAAATGAATAAAGGTTTTATTATGTAAAAAGCTTACGGGGAACTATAACTTTTTGAATCACATTAGTACTCATAAAACGATGGTAGAAAATGTCGCATTGCTAAGTTACTTGTTCTACGTGGAACAAGTTAAAGAATTTACAGTAAAAATTACATGGTTTAATGGTTTAAAAAAGTAAAGAAATAAAATATTTAAAAATTGCATTTGTTTTAAAACAACATTTTTTAAAAGGTTACATTAGCCCAGTGAACCTTTCTTCAATTGTATATGAGGCACAGTTCCTTCTTAATAAGTCATTACCGAAAAGAATCGAATTAAAAAATCAAACACTTCGCAAATAGCAAACCGAAGCGACAATTCGCATATTCATCAGATTAGCGTTACCGGAGAGATGAAAAAATATAGGAAACATTTTTTCTTATGTCTTTTAGGTAATATAAACATTTCACATTTCCATATAAATGCTTAAATTCTTCCTCAACATACAGGCACATCCGCAAATGTAAGCCAATCAAACATTTCGAAACAATTTTGCTTGAAAAGCTTCGTTTCAAGAAGATAATTATGCTACAGCAACCGCTAGTCAAAAAAATTCAAGATTGCAGCAACCTCAGACAAAGAGTTTTTAGGCTTATTGGGAATCACAAGAAAGTAAAGACCAAACTAAATAATCTCAGGCTACGCAGTTTGGTGAGCGACCCTAAAATTTAAAAAACATATTTTAATTACCCTGTACTATAGCACTTAACTAAAAAAACACAATTTTAGATTTTCGCATAATTTGCTTTGTTAAATTAGTTAAACAATAAGTTTACCCACACATTTAAATACGGAATAGCTAGTAATAAATCTATTAAAATGTTTGTAAACAAATTTTAGTTTGTGTCTTATTAAGTTCAAGGACTTCGGAAACAGTAAGTTATTTTAAAGTTGTATAAATTATCTGCCGATAAAGTAGATGAGGTATCTATCAAAGTTTTTTGCACTTTGGTTTGTCCTTTGGGCACACTCCTTTAACAATTTCGCTAAATGCTGTAAAAATAAATAAAGTTTATTTATTTTACCATAAAATAACTTTAATCCTCTTTTTCGTCTTACGTGGCATTCCTTTTTGCTCCCGACGGCATGAAACACGTTCAACTTGGCAACGATTTAGACCAGTAAACACACAACCATTAGCAGCTTTTCCGCAATGAACATCCATTTTCCAATCACAAGTGGTGCATTCGTCTTCCGCTACGGTAGTCGCCACTATTATTGAAACTTAAAATTCAGAGCCGCTTATTAACTAAAGAATTAATTCAATAAATGCTAAGGGCTTACCAATTATGAGATGGATCTTCATAGCGACGATCAATTTTCTAACTACTTTGGAAAAGTACTAAAATCTTTAGCCAGTAATGACATTTCCAAAGTTAAGTACTGAAACATATCTCATTTGTAACAGTTATATTAAACAAAAATTTATTACTTTACTCTTCTATTACAAAATTATTTGCTTCACGGATATGGTTATGCTATTTATAGCTTACCTTATTTATTGTGAGCTACCTTAAAGAAGTAATTAGTTAAGTTAAATAAGTCAAAATATTACCACAATTTAATTCCTCAGACATTGTTGATTTGGTTGTTTAAAAGAGTAAACTAAAAAAGTTGTAAAGGGAGGTCAAAGCCCACAAATTGCAACTTATCACGAAAGGCTTAGTCAAAACATTTAAAGGGTGCTGTGATTTTTCACCAGAAAAATGCATTTAAACTTCCCTTTTTAATAGAAGTCCTTATCTGAAATCATAAAAATCAATATATTGTTTACGACCTTTGAAACTGTGATGTGTTGTAAATTGATTTTATGCCCAATGCATTGGCCCATTTTGATGTTTTGAAAGTGCGTTATAAACTGCCAACCATAGGAGTCGGTCACATTACTGTAAGGCAATCACAATGCACTTGACAGAACTTCTGGTCGGATTGAGTAAGTAAAATTCTTTTAAAAGTAGAACCATGCTATTTAAAAAATTAATATCTTTCAGTCTTTGTGTTCGCCATGTTGAGACCTTATGGAAATGCCGTATATGGGTCAGCAGAGAAAAATAGCAACCAATATCCATGGGCTCCGACGACTACAACGCACAAAACACCATATAAAATATCTGGTGATATTTGAAAACTCTTAAATATGTTACTAAAATTGTCAATCGAATAAATAAATAATAAGAACTGAACTGAAAGTTCTATTTACTTTTATTACATGTTTCACCCTAAACCATACAGCCTTACCCCCTTATAATGATAAATAAACTTAATAATTTGAAAACTCTTAAATATGTTACTAAAATTGTCAATCGAATAAATAAATAATAAGAACTGAACTGAACGTTCTATTTACTTATATTACATGTTTCACCCTAAACCATACAGCCTTACCCCCTTATAATGATAAATAAACTTAATAATTAATGTAAAAAAAAATTCAAAAATTTAGTAAGTTCAAAAACCAGTATAATAATTTTAATAGATATGTATGCTAGGTATGTTTTCAACACAAAGACAAATTCGTAGGCAGCTATTATTCACTTTAAATATTATTTAATTATTTTTATACCCGTTACTCGTAGAGTAAAAGGGTATATTGTATTCGTGCAAAAGTTTGTAACAGGGAAAGGAAAGCCTTTCAGACCCTATATATTCTTGATCAGGGTCACTAGCCGAGTCGATATAGCCATGTCCGTCTGTCCGTATGTCTGTCTGTCCGTATGAATGCTGAGATCTCGGAAACTACAAAAGCTAGAAGGTTGAGATTTCCCACACATATTCTTGAGCTTCCTACGCAGCGTAAGTTTATTTCAACTGAGCGCCACGCCCACTCTCTTGTTAGAAATTAAATTCAACAAAATTGTAAACTTTTAATCTTCAAAATCGAAGGGATGTGTAGATGTAAAGCATAAAATTAGTTTGCACACTCAGAATGCTACATAAAGTAACATTACAATTTAAGGCTTTTTGTGAAACGCTGCCGTTTACAACTACCGTAGGTTTTACTTCTTATTCGCTTGGTCATATCTCCCACAGCGCAGCGTTTCATTTTCATTACATACGAGTGCATCGAAATCGATTAATTCCCATCGAGGCAGGGCAAAGAAAACCACAATTCAGTGACCATATCAGTGGGCAAGGCGAGCATTAAATCTAATTGATTCTCGTCGCTGTTTGGCTGCCGTACTTGGGCCAAGTGGCTGGCGACCTATATAAGGAGACCCCTTTCCAGCAGTAGTCAGTTCAGTCCGAGGACCATGAAATTCTTGACGGTATTCGCATTCGCCTGTGGTAAGTAGTCCCTTTGACACGGCCAACGTTTGATAAACTAAAAGTAGCCGCCGTCCTTCTGTTAGTGGCAACGTTTGTGGTGCTCCACAGCGCCTACGGCTCTCCACTGCCGGAGCCAGCTCCCGAACCCAGTCCAGTGGCCGATCCCAAGCCCAAGGCGGAGCCTTCGCCCGACCCCGAGCCCGTAGCCAGCCCAGCAGCCGACCCAGGTCCGAATCCCAGTCCGAGGGCAGAGGCAAATCCCAGTCCCTTGCCAGCAGCTGCTCCGCTGGAACCAAAGGCACCTCTGGCCGCCGGTGCTGATGCCAACTTCGTGGCCCTCTCCGCCAATGCAGAACCCTTGGTTCCGGCCCCAGGTGCATCCCCGAAATTGGATGAGGCTCCGGCCGATACCCTAGCGGCTTAGTCGGAGGATGTCCCAACATTAAGGAGCACCAGCAGCAGCTAAAAATCTAAATGGAGCCTGCACACCCACACACAAGGAAGACACACACACATATCTTAATCTCCGGTATTTTATGTATTCCAACCTCTAGCATGGGCATTAATAAAATTGCATAAAAAATATACAAGTTCTACGGATGTTTTAAAGGAAAAGGTTTTTACTTAAAAGAAGGTATAGAAAATAATAATTTGAATATTTAAAAATTGTAATATTTATTTGATAAAAAGAAGTTGACCCCAAATAATAAAGAACATTTTTTTAAACGATTAAGTAGGTTATAAAATATAATCATTGATAAAAAATATGTGAATGATAACGAAATGGTGTCCCAAAATAAATAAACATAAGGAAAATGTTATGGTATTATATAAATATGCATGAAATCCATTTTTTTATTTTCCCTAAAAATAATAATCTTTTAAAAAATGTTCTGTGGTATTTAATAAAAATGCATTTTATAATAACTACTATTAAATATTCGAAATATAAAAATACGAACCTAGTGCATGCTATTTATAAATTAAAATAACAGTTAATAAATCTAATATTAGGAAGATTCGACTCCAACAGTTAGTTAACAAAAGCTGTACATACAACTTTTAGGGAAGTGACGACGAAGAATTTGCTACTCAAATCCATTTCCCATATCAACTTCCGCCGAGGAGTCTACTGGCCACGACAGTCACATGACATCGACACCGGCCAGGGAGAGACCGACTGACCAAAAGACCAATCGACCAGATCCGGTCGACCAGATTTGCGTTGAAAAAAAGCCACGAAAGAGCCACCGAGACTGGGAGAAACAATCACTTACAAAGAGGAAGCGACAGCTCTAACAAGTTTTATCAATGAAGTCAGTGTAAGGTTGACGACAAAACGAACACCGACAGTCCAACCACAGAGACAATGTCTTGGGTGCGAACCGGCATGGGACAGCATAAAAATAAAACCACACGAAAGCTCCATTGATCGGGGCATCGTCGGTTAATCCATTTGTAGGGCATCATTACCGAGTTTATTCATCGCATATACTCATAGTATGTAAATAGGTTTATTTGCATTTTTCTTTTGCCTCTTCCGCCGATCGTAAATTTTACCTTTGAGCTGCGTTCGTTCTCAGTCATTAAGGCAATGAACAATTTTGAGATATCAATTTACATGTTAACACATCTCGAGTTTTTGAATGAGCGGATGACTGACAAATTGACACAGTCGGCTATGAATGAGCTCCGAGGGTACTAAAAGTCATTGATAACTCTTTTAAATAACAAAAGAAATTAAAAAGTTAGGTTTTTGACAAATACCTTTCCTATAACTAGAACCCAGTCTTTATGTATTTTCGCATTTTTTTTTGTGTTAATACCAGCAGTCAAAATCAGAGTAAAGAAAACCTCTTTCGTGGGATTTTTTCCTCTACGTTTTTAAAGCTATAAGGCTTTAAAGATGAGGAATTTTTAAATATTATCTAGAAATAATTTAAATTTTACTCTTACTAAGTTAAAATAGAATCTATTGGTTTTATCCACCTCTTAAAAACATGTATTTAATTATACCTTTTTTATTAGCCATAAACCCATTTCTCTTGAAAGCATTGTGATTCATCACTCGTTGCAAACCTTCTATATTCTGTTGCTCAAAGGTATCTGAATGCAATGGGCATCCCTTGGCTTAGCGCTTTCCACAAATCAATAACTCAACACACCTTACGAGGCATTTTAAAGATTCACAACGAAGTTCACATTACAAATAAAGTTTATTGCAGTGTTTAAACTTAAATGGTCGGTCCTATTATGGGATATGGGATGCCTTTATGCAAATTGTACCATTTCTGCTTTTGTTTGGCGACAAACAATAAAGATAAGCCAAGCACAACTAGTAATGGGTACGAAAATATAAAAAAGTTAGTATGGGTGACCAATATTTAAACCTGCATAAAGGACAATACTTATAGTTTTTAAGAATCTCATATCCATCCACCAGGGACAATGGAAAAAGTCACACTAATATAAAGTTGATTCATATCAGTGACTGTTAAGCAAATTGGGTCTGGATAATCATATTTTCAGATTCGTTATTCTTCAAGGTAATTTTTAAAAATAAAAGTATATTTGGATAATTATTCAACTTAGTAAAATATATGCAACTAGATATATTTTTCAACAATACAAAAACATTCCTGGAAACAGAAATTATTTAATTTTCCTAAATGGTTTCTTTCTCAGAAATATACTTTTCTGACAACAAATATTTTCATAAACAAAAATTCTGGTTTAGCAACCAAAATTGTGCCAAACACAAGATCAAAAGCGGCACAATTAAAACCAATACGAACCGCACATAATTATATTAACAGACGCAAAAAAGGGAAAAACAATGGAAATAAAAGGGGAGATGGGGAATGAACGGCAGCTGGTTACACATTAATTTATAATTATTTGGGCTTCCACCAAAGGGTTAATCAGAACAAGTGCCACTTGGTTGAAAGCCCAGACATAAAAATCGAGAAAATAAATGAAACGGAAAGTGTATACCCTTAAACATAATATAAAATAATTATTATTTCAGATAAATGAATAAAAATGTTTATTCGCATATATAAATTATTAACATTAACATTAACTGTAAACAGAAATTATTTACCTCAAATAAAGGTTAAGGTATTTATCATAGCAACTAAAGATATTCAACATGTTTTGCTTATTCAAAAAGTTAAGCCACATTTTTGGGAAGTGTATGATCGACTCATGTGGTGCACATCTGAGGAACAGAAACAGAAGCCCAAATTAATTTTGTGGTCTGCTGACTTTTTTGATTATTATTTTACGGGCAGAAACAAATTTGAAATTAATTTCCCTACTGTGCGGGTGCTCAAATAGGCAAGTGGGCCAACTTACCGATGGAATTGTAGGAACGGAGAATTGCATAAACCGACTCGGCAATTACAGATATCGACATTTATGTACATACTCCCGCCGACAGTCGCCCGCCTCATTAGAGCTAATCAAAATGAATGCTCTAATCAAAGTGGTTTGATTGAAAATAATTTTCACTCACACTTTCAGCTTTTCACTTTCAATCTAATTGATTGAAACCAAAGAGGGGCGTGTGGGAAACCCCAAGCCGTAGAAAATGGCAAACACAGCGAGACAAGAAAATGAATTCGGAGAAATTAGCAAAACGTGAATCAGAAACCGCACACAGCCATAAAAAAACCAGCCTGCAGGAGACTGACGTGGGAGCCGAGTTGGAGAATCGCAAAATTGCCAATCGATTGAGCAGTTACTCAATTTCCCTGCACAGATTACAATAATCCATGAACTGAACTCCTCCGAAGCTTAGAACTCACGTCTTATCGGAATTTCACGGTCGCGTGAATCATGTGTTTTGGGATTGTGTAAACAATTAAAGTTTGCTTGGGCCTACTCTAGCAGAAAGCCACGCACACTCCCCAGCACTCCGATTGCTTACCGGCATCTCGAATCGGCCAATTAACTGATTAGCCCCAAATTTTGCCATTTCTGTACTTCTGTCATTTGGGGGACAAAAGCGCTAACTCGCCCGAAGAAAAATAAAAGAAAGGTTAATTAATTGGATAGAAACTCTTTCCAAACACTTCAATTGAAAAGGTACACCGAAAAAGAAAAGTCTTTATAAAATTCTTCATTTAGGATATATATTCCAAATCGACTGAAAATTAGAAAACATGTTAAAATTAGAAAACTCCTAATGCCCATTGGAAAAAAATTTTATTTTGAAGAAAGTTTTGTTTGTTTTTTATACAATTTGGTAACCATTTTTTAATTTGTCGAATTTTTTTTCGAGTGTTTTCCAAAGGCAGCATGGGCTTGCAGCCTATCTATCTGTTGTGCTTCTATCGACATTTTGTGGCTTTTTGGCATTTTATATTTTATCCTTTCACACCAAAGCATCCTTCTTGAGAATAAAAGGCAATATTTCTTAAAATGAAAAGAAAACCAAATTTATTGCTTTAGAGTGCCTGGGGTATTGCGAATAACAATTCAATTTATTTTATAACACTTATCACTCTTTGCTTAATGGTTCACTACTTAAACCAAATGAATTGTTATTTTTTGCAGATGCTCAGTGATTTTTATCTATTTGTCTAATTCACATCCACAAACAAAAACAAACCTTAGTGCATACATTGCGAATAACTTAGTACTGTACTATTGCAGAGAACTATAATTGACTGATAAGTTTTTAATTAGAATATTTGGTACTTCCTTAAATGTCTACCTTAAATTCTGCTCTTTGATAGGAATTATATATATATTTATATTTATCCTCAATTGTTTCTCAAATTCAGATGGCTTGCTTGTCACAGAAAATGAAGTCTTATCTGCAGGAGGCAAATGTCGCAAAATGAACCCCTTTGTGTTGGCTTTAGATTTGTTTATGATTTTAGGCACTTATTTGTAATTGGATCATAGCAATTGTCTGAGGACGCGGTGTCGAAGAGAAACAGGATGTCGAAGTCGCTATGGACAGAAAGGCATGAATCAAATCTTATCATAATTTTATCAGACGGGTTGCACCTAAGTAAACACATTGTGTTTGTTAAGTTTGCAAATATTCAAGATCCCTCTGAAAGTAGCACTTGGTCTTTCTGTAGTGAAGTTTATTGTTTTATTATTGGGATTAAACAAATAATGAATGCGGTAAAAAAAACCATAAAATATCAAAAAGAGGCGTAAAGTTATTTATTTATTTTCAAATTACCAATTTAAAAAATTCGATTTTTCATATTCCGCTTTTTTAAGATTTTTGGCATTCTCTGTCTATTTTTACAAACGAAATTTTCATAAAAAGTAAATTTGTGATTTTGGTTTATTTTTAAACTGAGGTAACATAGAAACTAACTGGCTGGCAGATGAACAGGTTCCCAGCTTGAGATAAAACGTTTTCGAATAAACAATGAGTGGAAATGTATTTTCGTGTAGGCAATTTCTGGGTTCATTCATGAGTCGGGACTCACTTCAAGGGGCTCAGAGGCACAAAGACACCGCAGGATGTCTCCACTGAATGCGAATCGATGTTTCGGTTGTTACGGTTGTTTCTCGTTTCCGTTTCCTGTCCTGCGTCGCAACGAATGCGATTTAATTTTCATTGTCCTCCGATTGATACAAAAGTCATTTGGAAAGTAACCAACTCAGTGTGAGAGCTGGCTAAGTAGTGAACACTTAGCTGTGAAGTGTTCGGATTGCACCCTTGGCCAGGTGTTCACTTGACTCGAGATTCAGGTAGAAATCAAGGAGTGTTAACCAATTTGCTTTAAAAATGTTTAATTATTTTTAAGTATGTAATCCGTTTATTAATGAGGGTGTGAGTCCTTAGAGAATCTTATCATCTATCAAAAACTATTAGTACCAACCGGATATTTTAGATTGGCCAAAACAAATATATGCTCTTACAACAATTTCCTTAAATTAATTTTAGTGTGATAACTTGGGGAAAAAGTCCTAACTCAATTGAAAGTTCTGGCTATTTTAGGCAGATTTTTCGGCTCCTTTACGTTTCTGTTTACAGAAGGAAAACTTTTTAGTCTGGACGATTTTGATGATGATATAATGTAGTAGATATTTTTCTTTGCCAAAATAATGAAGTTTTTAACTCATTCCATCTTTGTTAAAGCTGTCATCAACATGACAAAGCGGCTTTGCCTCTTTGGACGAATATTTTTGTTGTGCGGCATCCGTCTTGTGGCCAAGCAATATAAATGATATGATATGAAAAATGTGTTGGTATGTACGAGTATGTAGATATATATATTTTTTTTTGTTTAAAGGTTCATAATGGATTGTCATGTGCCTTAAATATAATAACATTCTTGCATTTAAGTATGTGTTTATCTGAAGTTTATTTTCGTATGTTTTCATGTTTGATTACGTGACACTTTTACTGAGTGCGGCTCGTAAAAAATGTGAGTCAGAAGATTGACTTAGACAGGAGGTTTAGATGTTTGTTGGTTACTGAATTCCTAAAAGGATTAAAATAAATGAGTTAAAACGATTTTACGTACAAGCCGAAGTTTGAATTCCTTTTAATAAGTGAACTGTGCTACTTAGTGGTAATACTTTATGGGCTTGGAGATACATATATTCTTCATAGTTCCTAACAACCGGCAATAAAAGTGAACTCATTTACAGCTTACAAAATCCGTACCATAAATTACACAAATTTTCGGAACTCATGCAGTGAAGAAATGGAGAAAGGGTACGATGCTCAAAATGAAAGTATGCATAAATCTGTCAAACAAAACGCTCTCAAGCAGGGAAAGGGCATTTTAATAACTTGTAACACTATACTATACAGAATTCCAGTTAAGTCCAATATTCTGATGCATTCTTATCGCGGAAACTAGGGCAGACGAAGAAGATCACGGCGGGGTCTACAGGTAGCCAAAGACAGGTAAATGTCGGTCGAAATCATAAGACCTGATGCTAAAGAGGCGCCAGAATATTGCCTATTACTGATACCTTATTTGAGAAAGTTGATCTAGAGGATTCTTTATGACTTACAGGTTAAGTGGACCTGAAAAATGGAATTTTATATTTACGTCCTTTTGTCTGCTCGTTCTCCCTTAAAAGTTATGGAATAACCGTTTCGTAATTTTTAACAATATTTCAAAAAAAGAAGATAACTGGATTGTGGTTAGCCTATATATTTAATTTTATGATTACAAAATTATGCGCATGTTTATTTATGACGCGTTTTATTATTGGTTATTGCTCATTTAAAAAGCGTACATACAAAATAACCTGCTTGCTAAATATACAGGGTACTCTACTTCTAGTCGATCAGTTGACTGCGCACTTGATTTACCTCATTCGGGCTCATTAGATCCGATTTGAAATCCGCCTGCCGTCTGTGAACCAGTTGTCCAGATGCATCGTTCACATTGTCCTGAATTTTGTAGTCGTAAATAGTTCTCATAAAGCCGCCTACCATTTGCTGGGACTTTGATCTTGAACTAGACTGAATGTTTATATATGGAGCCGCCTCAGTGAATTGCCAAAGGCAAATGAATTCTGCGTAAATTATAAAAAGAGGAGTTTTTAAAAATCCCAAACAACCTTTAAAACTTACGAAAAATGCAGAGCAGCACGATGTTCTTCATTGTAGAAAGTAGTTATTTAGACTGTAAGGAATTTTAAGAACTTATAACCTATGCGTACAGAATCGGAATTATTCCGGATTACATTGTAATCTTTTGTAGCTGCGCCATTTGAAGGTTTTACTATGAATCATTAATATCGGTACGTTGCGTATGAATGTATTTGACTTATAAACAATGTGATCACTGTGATCCCCCTACCAAGGTAGAGTTGGAAATATCCCATCAGTGGGGTTCTCGGTGGTGGTTGTGTCATCCACTAGCCTAGAGATCTTCTGAATTTCCTCCTTTATTCTCCGGCGCAGCTCCCTTAGGAGTTTCAGGTACTTGTTCCGGTGGCTATACCTGATGATGGGCTCCCGCTCTTCCTTGACCAACCTATTGGCCTCGATATTGGCCAGACGATATGTAACCTTTCCGGAGAGTGTTCCCTGGCACTCGTTCAGCAGCTTTCGGACATTTTCCTGCTGTATTTCAATCTCCAGCAGCTGACGATTTACATCATTCATCTCGGCCGCTATATTACTACGTAGCACTTGGGCATTGAGAACTTCCGATTTTTTAGATTGTATTTTCTTCATCAAGTAGCTGGACACGTTCCGGTAGATCTCAGTTTTGACCCGTTCTCTTGATAACACGATTTGTAGCTTCTTGACTGCCCCATTAGGCGAAAATGTAATTTGCGCATCTTTGCCTGGGACCCCTTTTAATTTTTTTTTACTCGGTACTAATAGTTCGAAATCCGATTTGGTTGTTTTGTTGAGCGGAGGTTCTGTTTTAAGCGGATCACTTCGCAGCAGGGAATCGTTTTTTTGTGGGCTTACCGAAGAATTACTCAACGGCGAATAATCGCTATTAGGATCATCTTCTAGGGGCAAATCCCTCACTGGTAGATTCTTCACCCCAAAATCTGCCCTACGAGATCTAGTCAGTGGCGAATCATTCTTGAGGGAAATATTTTGAGGCACAGAATCGCGCTTTGAAGAATCATTTTTAGTCGACTCTTGCTCAGATAGATCTTTTACAGGGGAATCTCCTTTCGGTGCATAGCTTTGCAACAAGGGAAGATCATTTTTCACCACATCGTTCTTGGAAGAATTGCTTTGCAGAGATTCACTCTTGGGTGAAACATTCTGGGGTGCAGAGAAGTTTTTGTTAGAATAAATTAGTGACAAATCACTTTTCGGCAAATCTTTCATAGGTGGATCCGGTTCCTTTGCTTCTGCTACGTTAACCAGCAGAACTAACAAAATAATCACTATTAGAAATGTCTAACCTTACACAAGGCAACTTACGTAGAGCTAAAGAGCAAAAAAATAACACTCTCATCTCGAGGAAACCGTTCTGCTTAAAGTATTGACTGCATTATAGCCCTTCCTTATATAGACTATTCCGTGGTTAGAAAAGGTCAGTGTTTCGTTCTGCTTGACTTTTCTTAAGCTATTATTTTTTACTATCCCATGCCAGCAGTCACATTAATTGCATTTATTTTTCAAAATCAACAATATTATTATTTTAAAGCTTTAATTTAAACGGGGTCTTCAGGTTTTCGGGTTCTACGCTTCCTGGACAACCCCATACCAGCACGGGTTTCTTGTTCTACCTGGTCTTCGAAATGCTCCAGAAGCCTTAGATACTTCATTAGAAAATGCCTTCTCGCCACGGGATGGAGTCCCTCAGCCTTTTTGTCGGCTATAGTATCGGCAATTCGGTGAACCTTTTCAACGCGATGCCGCGCGTTTTGGCATCGCTCCATCAAGAGCCAACTATGATCGACTTTGATTTTCTTTTGGGAAAATAGTTGCCGGGCTTTCATCACTGCATTCCTCGTATTAGTCCAATTTTGCATGGCTTCGTTTGCTCTTTGGGTAATATTATTTAAAAACAAAACACGCTGTCTTACCATTGACCTTAAATTTGTGTTAATATGTAACTGCGTGTCCAGTTCAAACTGTACTCGACTTAATAGCTTTTGGTTGAAAGAAAACGCTTCTGGGGATTCCACGTACTCGAGTTCTTTGCTATGTTCTTGCTCCACATGTTCTGGATCTATATATTGACCTTGTATCTTGGTCACAGAGCAGCAAGCAACTAAATTTTGAATATTTAAAATATACTTTTTTTGTACACTCATAAAAATATTTTTCTACATTTTAGAAAATCGCCCTAAAAAATTTTTCGCCTTTGAACTGAGAAAAATTTTCTATTTTCACGACAAATTTGCCATAAATTTAAGGCAGGTGACCATAAAAAAATATTTTTAGGGTTAATTTTTCTATTTTTCTAATATTTAGGGCGGTTTTTTTCGATTTGCTTCGTTTTGACCTTTTCTAAATCCAACGGCGAATTGCCCTAATTTTTTTTCTAAAATTTTTCTAAATACAAGGGCGATTTGCCTTAAAAATCACTCCAAAAGTGTGAAATTCGGTAGCCCAGCGGTCTAATCACTTGCGCTTTCAACTTTGCTATATGAGGACTAAGGTTGTGGGTTCGAACCCTGTGTGATTCAACTTGATTTTTATGTTTTTTTTTTTTTTGTAAACATTATAATACTGAGGACATTTTTTCGTCCGAATTTTAAATTAAAGTAGTCTTTAAACCTTAAAAACGTATGGGAGTTCTGAGTTAAAAGCATACTTTATACGGTTTAGTTGCCTTTAGTCATATTATAACGTAGACCTCAAGAAAATAAGATATGTGCAGAGTTTGTTCGTCGTCTTGCGCGATGGGTCTGTGGTGCAGCGTTAGGACGTTAGACTCTAAACCGAGAGGTCGTGGGTTCGATTGTCGCAATGACCAAAAAAAGTAAGTAGTTTTTTCTCCTCATATTTATTTCCCTAATTCGTTTACAAACATGATTTTTCAGTTCTAACGGCTGTTCTGTATAGATCGGGCCCCCCTCTTAGCGCAGCTCCCATATAAGCTACACACCAATACAACAATATGAAACAGTGTCCTCCGCCGGTTTTGTGTAATTAAAGCAGTCCCAGTTCCCAGAATATACACGATTAAAAAATACATGCTTCCCAAATTCAGTTAAGCATGCTCAAACTCGAATTTATTTAATTTGTCTAATTTTTTAGGGCATTTGCCTTTAAAAACAGAAAATTCGCCCTTAATTTTAGAAAAATACACCTTAAAATTAGGGCAAATCACCCTAAAAAAAGGAAAATATTTCTTATTTCAAGAAAAATCACCCTAAATTAAACCAAATTTCCATCGGGATTTTTTAGAAAATTTTTCTAAATACACGGGCGAATCGCCAGCGGATACGATTTATGGGCGATTTTCTAAATCCACGGGCGAAAAGTCAGTTTTTTAGGGCGATTTAGGGTAAAAATTTCTATGAGTGTAAATATCTTGAAATCAAACTTACGAACTGCAATCAACCATTCAATGAAGCCCTTCATTTTTAAGTATTAAAAATAGGTTATTTTATGCATATCATTTTAGAAAGGCTTTAAATAATTAGAAGTAATTCCAGGGAAAATCAATTCAACATGGTGTTTATATAACGTGAAGTTAAGTAAAGGCTTTTGTATTCTTGACGATCACAAAGCTGGTCGACGGAAAAAAGTATAAATAAAACTCAGAAATTCACTTCATCTAATTAATTAAGCCACACCAGACTTATTACCCGTGCTGATCTAAAAAGATTTCCCAAGCCAAATGAATGTGAAAATGCAGGCAAAGATTTCTGAAAAGCACACCATTGTCTTTGACCGAAAGTGAAACTGCAATTCAAAAGCATCCAACATCCGTACTGCGAGTTGAATTTGGGAAAATGAACTCAAATTTCGCCCACATGCTGAATATGTAAATTACATCTTGCGCCTGCGCACGCGTCAAATTGATAGCAAAATTGGACGTGGGCCTCGTAAAACTAAGGCATGGCCAAATCGTGGGCGATCGGTCACTCTGTGGCTCGGATCCCCCGATTCGGGTAGGTGGCCACTGCTAATTGTTAAAATTATAGCTATTTATGCTCGCATTTTGCGTGGTGTCTGCGGTCGCTTTTTAAATTGCCGCGGCCCCTCAAATGGGCAAAAGTCTTTACTGACTTATAATCCATGCCAACTTTGGTGTAATATTGACAACATATTGGAATTTACCCTATAAGGAAGTCGGAAAACAATCTATTAAAATAATGCGCATTTAAATTTCAATCAGAACAACATTTACCAGCTAATCTGTTATGAAAATTGTAAAGCTATTTAAATACAACCCACGATCCGTAGAAATCCAAAAACCTATATAAAATATAGGTAACATAATTCTACTTATGCTATTGTCATTTCGCTATTCCCAACGAGCATTTCCCCTGCAGAGAAGATGTTTCATTTCTCATTTTGATTGCCGTATTATTATGATGACGGTATCTCTGTCTGCGACTCTCATTTGAAGCTGGCTTTTCACTGAAGTTTTCGGTTTCAGTTTCCCATGCCCAGCGTATCCCATATGCTTTGCCATGATTTTCAACGCTTTTCAGCTGGAGTTCGGCTCGAGCACACGCTTTCATTTGCGTTCGGAAAATGACCTACTTCCGGATTAGCATGCCGGGTCCACTTTTACTGTCGCTGAATCGGGAAAAGGGCAGCGGAGAGAACCATTGATGATGGGCACTGACCAGGGACAGAGGCTAATGATGTTGTTGTCGCTACGTATCCACTTGATAATAAACATCCGCCGCGTTCCGCAGTGAATAATTTTGTTGCATGTTTGTTGCATTTACTTGTAATTTATTTTCCAGTCCATAGAATGGGCAGAGCACAGAACGGAAGCAAATATTTTCCGGTGGAAGCTGGCCCGACCAAAGGGGAAGTCCCTTTCCTATACCTCTTTGCTTTCCCTGCTTCCCAACAATCTATGATGCATTAATTAATTGTACATAGCCCTATCCTATCCGAATTAACCCTTGAAAGCATATCAATTCCTTAGGAAAAGTTCAATTACTAAATTTATATTTCGACATGATAAATTGTATTATTTAAGAAATATACAAAATACAATTTTAGAAACCAGGAAAATATTTTGTAATAACTCGAAAAGTTTATTTACTATTTTTACATGATACATTTTATTATTTAAGAAATATAAAAAATAAGATTTTAGTTAACAGGAAAATATTTTGTAATATTTCTTATTTTACATGTACAGACAATTAAGTTGCGGAGCCACAAGAATGATTTTTAATCAACTCTAATTAGCTTGAAAATGTGCTCACATGGGCACACAAAGGGTTAATTGATTCGAGTGCCGGCGATGACATCGATTTGCTATATGACTTCAGTTCTCCTCTTCAGAATCGCGGCATTTGTCGGCTTTGCTTAAAGGGAAAAATACCAAGCGAAGCCGACTGCCAATTGCAGTTCGAGTGGATCGATCAGCAGCGAACCACAATCAATGAACTTAAGGGAAGCCAAAGCGAATTGCTGGCTAATTTTACGCAAAAATGTGAGTTGAACGGAGCGAAAGAACGCGTTGCACTGCGTCCGACAAAAGGAAGCTGCGACTTCCTATCAGAAGGCCGGCAAAAACACCTGAGCCCGGGGCACGAATCAGACCCCCATCCCCGCCGATGAACTGAACCCACTCGCCACCAGCGGGTGACTCTTCACACTCAGGCTGGCATAATTGCCGGGGCATCAGAAACAGTCAGGTTAATTAGCTTCGATTCGGGGGGAATCCTCACCCTCCTCCTGCCAGACTAGAAATCGAAGCGGAAATTGTTTATTAAACAAATCCACAGGCAGTTCTGATGGGCCGGGCAGCATCCATGGTGTGGATAATGGACTTTTAATTGACTTCTGGCATTTTCGACAGCCTGCGTGCCGAGGTCCATTATAGGTCGGAATTGGGAATCAGATGACATAATAACCGGGTTTTCGTAGCTCCGGAAGCCTAACAAGCCACCAGCCTACAGCCTCAAATAAACAAAGAAGTCAACTGATTTAATATGGAGCAGTGGGTACCTATCGATAAAGACTCCCTGACGATGTCGTAAGAGAAGTTTGAAAGATAGCGACCGGCAACGACAGTCAGTCTTCGAAAGTGGATCATTTGCATTTGTCAATACCAATAGTTGACATACTTTTCAAACAATCTGCATTACTATTGAGCAGCAATCCCCCGAGTCAGCATTCCATTATAATCGAAATCGTTACCATTCACTTTAATTCAGAAAAATTACCTTGCATTGAATCAGTTTTTACACAATATCTCCGTATAACTGAAACTAAAATGTTTAAAAAAAGCTTACACCAAACTTGCGACTCTAACTTCGAACTTCTTTTTCAAATTTAAACTAAAATAAAGTCAAAATTGGACGTGGGAGACATCATTACGTAGGCGAGTAGGTTCTCTGTTTTCGTCTCTATTTAATTGATAAAAAATATACAAAAAAGGTAAGGTATAAAAAAAGGTTTATGGACTGCCTTGAATATCCAAATTAAATTTAACCGCAAAAGGTAAGTGAAAATCGTGAAGATTTTCTGTGGCTATTCAAGCGAAAAACTTTCCATTTCGAAGGCAGCACTAATTCGGCTAATCAGCAGCAGCACCCACTATCATTACATCATCTTATAGATCTCATAGATCATGGCATGAAACCAACTTCCGCCCGACACGCACTTGAAAATCCATTGTGAGGAGGGAAAGTTATCAACATCACATTACCATTGGATTCGCGGCAACAGCAATAAGCCATCTCCTCCCCAATGAGAGTGAGTCTGGGTAATTTCAAACGCCAAAACAATGACACATAAATCGCTGAAAAAATCAAGCATAACATCAACATTTTCACATCTCCCATGGCGACTACACCCACTGAAACACTCGCACATTACTAAGATCTGTGAGATAAAGTATAAAGTGTGTGTGTAGTACTTGCTGGCATGTGGAAAGTTGCAAATTAGCCGGGCGATAGAAAGCAAGGCAACAAGTCGCTCGTATTATTCAGTTACTGCGACTCGCTGGCACTGGTAATGTGAGAAAAAAGCGAAAATGTGCAGCGTTGACACAATTGCGACTGCACGAGGCGGTGCATCCATATCCATGAGATACTTGAGCAGTTGCCAGCGATTGTCTAGCTTGGCATTTGGTTTTCGGTTGCTACAATGGGCGCCCAGATGAAGCCCGCGATGAAGTGGAAAGCTTCTCGTCTCATCTCATATCGTCGCGCCCTGCGAGACCAGTCGAACCGGGCTCCATTCGATACTGCTCTGAAATACTGAAATTCAATTCGTTTTGGCTCACTTACATGGATATGTTGTGTTTGCATTTTATAATGAATAAGTTAGGGTCAGCAGTAGGGGATCCTGAACATTATATGACTTTTTATTCTCCAGCATCAACAACAATTATCTGTTTAATCTATTTCCCAGTTTTGCATCTCAAATCTTTTGTATTAATTTTTTATGGCGGATTGACCATGTTTCTATCTATTCCTCTTATTAACAAAGAAATTCTTTTATATACAAAATAAAACACGCCGGTATCAAATCGATATGCGCATGGTAAATTTATGGTATTTATTTGCATGCATTTCCCTGCATTTTCTCGGGATTGTAACTATATATAGTACCACCTACTTTCCAGCATCTGTAAAACTGTTACACCCAGTATTGATGTAGGTCATTGTCTTTCGAAGTAGCGTAATCAATTTGGTGCCATTTACGACACAAGTCTCATATGGCATATGGCATAAAAGTTGATGTACATAAAAATCATCTCTTGTCTTTATGGAACCAGTCGGAGGCATCCGCCCGCGCATGAGACGGTGACATAAGCTTCCGTTTTTACATTCGACTAACATGACATACTTATATGAAAAATACATAAGGAGCTCTGATTCTTGGAACGTCTTGATGTCAAGCCAATATTTTGGTTAATTAATGGGAAGCCCGACAGGTTGGCGCGTGGCCACTTTTTCTTTGACGCCTACTCTCTTGTATCTTTTGGTTAGCAACTTTTATTGTAGGCACGTTGATTTGATTTTGTATGGTTCGCGGTGGATTCAAGTCTTACTGCATTTTCGGCGTGGGTCTGTTGGTCTGGCCTGAAAAGCGAGCGTTGGCTGGAAAACAACTTAAGACCTCGTCGGCCAAGCAACATTAAAATTCATTCATTAAACTTGGCTTAAGCCATTTGGCTTTCATTGATAAAATAGTTTGTGAATGGAGCTTGTGGTTTACATAATGGCAGACTAGAAGTGCATAGATCGGAAATGGTTAAATGGGGCTTTATAATGCACAAATAAATATAATTTCTTATAAATTTCGAAAGCAGATGAACTACAAGTTTCAAAGAGGGATAATAAACATTCTAAAGATAAGTATCTCAATTTTACAATGGTATCATAAATTATCTCTGAAGTCTCTTCGAAATAGACAATAATTCAAAATTTGTCCACGACTTTTTTGGAGCAAAACAAAATTTT